TTTTTTTTTTTTTAATAATAAATTTTATTTTTATATTCCCCATGCAATTGCAACCCCCATTTTGACCCCAATCCATCCCCTCCCGCCCCCCACCCCCCAAAAAGTGTCTCTGGTTCACAGTTTTTTGTTGATTTTGGTTTTCACTTTCTTATAGTTATTCATTTTCCTGATCCCTTATTTAAGTTTTCTAGATTCCTGCTATGAGTGAGACCATCCGGTATTTTTCTTTTTCTTTCTGGCTTATTTCGCTGAGCATGATCCCTTCCAGCACCATCCATGTTGCTGCAAATTGCATGTGTTTATCTTTTTTGAATGCTGAGTAATATTCCATGGTGTATATGTACCACATCTTCTTGATCCAGTCATCTATTTTTGGGCATTTGGGTTGTTTCCAAAGCTTAGCTATTGTAAATAGTGCTGCTATAAACATAGGGGTGCAGGTGTTCTTTGGAATTGATGTTTCTGTGTCCTTTGGGTAAATACCTAGGAGTGGAATTGCTGGATCATATGGAAGCTCTATGTTTAGTAGGTCCAGAAATCTCCACACAGCTCTCCACAGTAGTTGGACCAGTTTGCACTCCCACCAACAGTGCAGAAGAGTTCCTTTTTCTCCACACCCTCGCCAACATTTGTTGTTGCTAGTTTTTTTAATATGTGCCATTCTCACTGGTGTAAGATGGTATCTCATGGTAGTTTTGATTTGCATTTCCCTGATTACAAGTGATGTTGAACATTTTTTCATATGCCTGTTGGCCTCAACTCTCATCTTAACGAAACACTCAAAGTAATCAATCCTTTGATTTTTTGTCTTCAGGTTCTCAGAACATCTGAATAAGAAGTGAAAGGATCCTGAAGTTTTCTGTGAATAAGTGATTAAGTTATTTGAATCCAGACATGCCATGATTTAGTTCCAAAAATTTCATCTTATTTGATAGCAGTTTCCCACAAACACCACAAGTTAGATTTGTTGGTGGGATGCAAAATTTGTCTTCTGATGAAGTGTTTTGCGAAGAGAACTGAACATTATGCTATAGAACTTGACAGTGTGTATATTTCCCATGGGAAAGGCCATTTATTTTTCTTTTCTGGAAAACATGAGTAAATACATCCATTTTAGGGGGACCCCAGGCTCTTCTCTGTGACTATACCCTCATACTTTATGGCCAGATATTGTGCTAAAATGCTTATGTCTCTTTTGTCCTTTAAAAATATTTGCTGAGAGAAATCACAATCAGCACCACACCAGATGGGGCTCATTTGAAGTTGAATGTTCAGGTAGGAAAGCCAGTCATTGCCTGTATGGAGTAGACACACAAATATTATTTTTTAAAATATTGTTTATTAAACTTGCAATAACGTGTTGTACACACGATGAATAATAAAGTGGCTGCATGGAGACTGTGCTGATGGCCTTTGAAATGCATGTAATCCAGGATGAAATTCTCTTGTTTTCTGTCTTTCAGAGCATCTTCCAAGTAGTTTTTATGGTGTACAAATGTTTCAATACACCTGTCAACTTGTCCCTTTGTTTTTGAATCAAACTTGAGTTGCTGTTTTTGTTCATTGCTCTCAAAAGTAGGTGGCTGACCAACACAAAAAAATGTAACATATACATTTTTAATGCATCGCTTTATTTTAAATGGTTCTGTCCTAACCCTATTCACAGCCCTACAGTCACATGCTCAGCTGGATTAGCATTTGATTCTGTCAAAGTAGAGCATGGAACCAAAAAATGGAGCACTTAATTGAAATTTCACAGTGATTTCCACATAAACCAGCTCCAACAAGGTGTATTTATGTATAGCAATCAGGATCTGACTAATCTATGTCAATATATGATTGTCAAAGAGGTGATTTTAAATGGTAAGAAATTCTACACAATAGAACTCTCAGCCTGGTCATGTCACACGCCGTTGTTTGGCCAAATTAAGTGTTGTTACTGTAGATAGCCTATCATTTTGATTACAGATTTACTATGTCCAGATAGGATAATAAAAATTAAAATATAACAAGCTATTCAATAAAAAGACTTTTCTGGTTAAATTCAACACTAAGATTGTGTCTCTCAGAACCGCATTCATACAAATGAATGTAATTGATCACTTGTCTTCAAGTGAGCCAGCTATCTTTCTAGTCTTTATTTTTCCATTTTTAGGGCTGAAGTAGAAGATTGAGAAAAATATTTTGGTTAAAATAGAAAAATTTATACTTTGTATATATTTGGCATTGTTATTTTAATAGTATCACTAGTGTACACTTTTATTTTCTATATTGAGCAAAATAATTTTTTGCATTTTCAGCTATTATGGTGTTTAAGTAAGTAAATGCAATAGAGTTGTATCTTTGTCTTTTACCTCGATTTTCAAAATGTCAAATAACACAATAGCCATAACTTAATTATTTATGGAGCGTTTATTTTGGAGGTGAAGTAAGTTAGCTAACAGAAATGCCTAAGAATAAATATAATGAGGTAGCTTTCATGCATAAAACATATTTCCATATTTAATGTACTTCATATATTCATAAAAATAATGGGATATGTAACTCTGACTAAATCATGCCAAATTTTTGTAATATAAGATATTATGTTGGTTTTATCGTTAATATCAGGACAACAGATGTAGCAATGAAAACAATTCTTTAAATTTCATAGAAACTTTTGACAACCAAAGTGGGTCTCTTTTCCGTCCTTTGCTTAGTTGGCATATTTTCAAAACAAACATTTCATTTTTTGAAAATAAATCTAGATTTAAAGAAACAAAGTATAAATATCAACAGTCTTCATCGTATTACAGAAAAAAGCTTACATTTTTTATTAATTTGCAATTTGAAGGCATTAAGGACCCTCAGACTATAGAATTCTTACAGGACAATACACTTATTTTGCTATAGCCTTCAAAGTTAGTGTTGCAAATAAATACATGCCCGTCAGTTGCTTAAAGTACAAGTCAGAAATTACTGTGTCTTGAAAAATATATGTATTCATAGCAATAATAGTCACTATTATAACTTAGAAAATAACAGTATTTCCAATGAATAGGAAAGGGAAAGTAATAACAATGTTTATTTTACCTTCACCGTCCAGATTGTAAGCTCAGCTGTTAGGGTTTGAAAAGCTGGAAAAATTTCTCATTCTTTACTTAGGGATAACTTTTCTGTTTCTTAGTTTTGCCAACCATTTGTTTACTTACTGAATTTTTTTTTTGACTCTTTAGAAAGAACCAGGTAATCAGCTGGGTGTGCAATAGTAAAAGTAAGTTGCCCAGCTTCAGGAAATCTCACCCATTTTCTATTGTGTTAAACACCATCATTTTAAAGGATATGGTATATTTAAGACACATAACCAAAGCCTGGTATATAGTTAGTGCTCAATAAAGAATAACTATTATTAATGATCTGTGATCTCTCTTTGTTACTGTTCATCTGCTGAGGGATGAAGTTTAAAATGTCTCATTTGTAAGAGTAATGATAAATACTCCAAGTATATGTATTGAAAACTTAATTAACAGTGGTTCCGTAATATAAGTATCCCACAATAAAGGATGGCTACATGTCATGGAGAAATTATTACCAAAATTCTTCTGTCTAGAAAATAATAAAAAATGTGTAATTTTCATTTTTATTTACTGATGGAGACTCTAAATGGTATCAGACTGTATTCATTTTATGATCAGTGCAAATCAACATTTCCAAGAAGGAAGACAAAAATGTCTGACTGGCATAGTTGAATAAAATGATCAAAACAGTTATTTAGTAATTTGCTATATTTTTAAAAACTGCAGGTTAACTAGATTTCTCTTGCAATCAAATGTTATTACTATTCTCAAACACTTTGAATGTGTAAATGTGTTCAGAAACACCACCTTTTATTATGGGATTGTGCAGAAGACTACTTGTTACATGTTTTGAGTCCTACTCCCTAGAATAGCTTGCAAAGAACCTTCTGAAAAATAGAGGAATATAGTCTCTTAACAATTAAACTGAAGCACATCACTTTCAGAGTGTTTCTTGGTAAGTCTAGTGGCTAGAACTGTGCTATTCAATATGATAGCCACTAGCCACATGAGTATTCCAATTTAAAATTATTTATTTTTTTAGATTTATTTTGTTTATGCATAGAAGAACTGGGGTGTAGGCCAGAGGTGGGGGGGCTGTGAGAGGATTCATCAGAGACAGAGTGGGGAGCAGAACAGGCAGATCTACTGAAATCCACCGCTGAGAGGAGCAGCAGGTAAGACAGGAGAGGTCTGCTACGCCATGTGGATCAGCTCCCTGGCCAGGGATGGATCTCAGGCCTCAGCAGTGACAGTGCTGACACTTAACCCCTGTGCCACCAGGGAGGCCCCTTTAAAATAATTTAAAATAAAATTCAGTTACCTGTGCTTGCTCAGTGGCTATACCTGATTGCAAGACACCATTCTCGGAGGAGCAGATACGGGACTTTTCCAATTCTCAATCTTCTAGTAATGTATTATAAATATGTTAAGTGGTCAGAAAAATAATGACACATTTCTGCATAGAAAACAGAAAACAATACATTATGACTTTCTGACAGCCCAGTATTAATCGGGATTATGATTGTATCATCATAGATTTAAAGAAACAAAGAATAAATATGGACATAGTGTGCAACTCAGCCACCTTCATACAAATGAATGTCATTAATCTCTTGTCTTCCTATGACAAATATAGTGCAAATGCAAACTGATGAATATCTTCATCATGATTGTGATTATATAATCCTCAAATGACCACAAAGAACAAGCACTTGTTTGGTTTTGATAACTCGAGTCCACCCAATCTCCCAACTCTAGATTAAATTTGTCAAATTCCTTGACAGATAAACCCTGCCTAAAATGACTTAAATTTCAGTATCGTTATAAGAACGGAAGCCACGGCCCAGAAAATCAAGTCCTTTCCCTGAATGACTTTGGGAACCCATAGTTCTGGAGATAGTATTTAAGAAATGTCTAATGGATGGATCAATGCTCTTCCCGCAGCACCCTCCAAGCCTTTCTTCCTGAGCGCCCCTCCGTTCTACTCCGCGTGCTGCGGTGGGTCCTGCCGGCGTCCTGCATCCCCCACTGCTTTTCCAAGTAAGTTTTTATGCTTCATCAGCAATGCCTCAGTTATTCTGTAAACCAAAGCAGCAGGACTTAATGTGCTCTGGAAAACTAATTGGTAATGCAATGGCAAGGAGCTAATTCCTCACTAAAAATCACAGCGATCCTATTCAGGGGGTTTGCAGAGATTTATCAAACCGGTGCACACTAAGCAATTGTGAGTGACTCCTAAAGGCATTGAAATCGGGGCTGACACACCAGGGAAAGCCACTTGTTTTCCACTGGCTATAAAAGATCTCAGAGGGACCGGTTTGGCTCTTTCTGAAATGTGTAGCCATCCTCATTTAAAGAAGAAAAAGGAGGGAGGACGAAAAAGCAGTGCTGTGTAAAATTTCCATTCCATTTCAAACGTGAGGCCCAAAGTCAGTAGGTCCCTGCAGAAAATAATGAAAAATCGGCAGGGTTGTTACAGGAGGTAAATACCTCCCTTTACGATCTTGAAGAAAAGCAGGAGAACTTTTAATCCACATGCTACACCATTTTCATAGTGTTTGGGGGATGAAATAAAAACAACTTTCAAAGACTTGTAGAGCGTGGATATACTCTCACATGCCAAGAAAAGGTCTAGCTTTGTTCTCCTAACCTTGAGAATCGACAGGCGGAGAATTTGAGTTTATGATGGAGAAATCAGCGGAGGGCTGCATTTATTTCAGCAGCCCAAGAGAAAGCATTTGTTCAGGTTAACAGGTGTCAGGTGAAGGTGAAATGGGAGGTAGGCGACAGTTTTGAGCTTCACCACGGTCAGATTCAGACTTGCTGCCTCCCTGTGTGTGTTTTATGAATGTTTCAGGACAGCAGTTACTCCTGACAAGTGAGGCAGCAAATGCTGGACGTTTAATGAGCTGGGAGCTTCTGAACGTCTCTTTAGGGGGCTGATACTTTCCCACAGAGCACTTTGCACGGCGAGGGGCTGGTCACAATGGGTGACAGACCCGTGACCAATTGTCACTTTCTCTCGACTCATCCACACGCGACCCCGCCTGATTTTTCACTATGCGGATGACCTTTAGGCACCATTTCACATGGAAAAGGCCCGGGCAAGGGTCAGCTGCCCTTTTGTATGGTCATAAAGCAAGCCCCTGTGTGTCTGTCTTTTCTCCTGTCTCACATTCCAAGTGCGTTTCTGGACACCATTTAAAGCACTTGACTGAAAAATAAAGCAATGAATGAAACTGACTTTTATAGACTCATTCTAGCTCATCTTCCCATATAACCCTGTCCACCTGAAAAGGGTTTAGTGGATGATCTGAGTGTATACAGGGACTTGCTGAATACATAGGGCCCATTATCAACTGTGGGGATTGTTTATTAACCAGGGCTGATACACTAGTATTTTGGAAGTGACCTATTAATTGTCCATTTAACTAGAATGTATTGAATTCCAATAGGAATATAGAAACCATGACTAAACCTTTTACTCGCTCCTTCAAGGTGGTCTCCCATGAAGGCAATTGAAAAACAGTTGTGCAAATTAAGGGGACATTTATCACCATATATTAGAGTATCAGGAAAAAAACTGCTGGAGGAAAGACTTAAGTTCCCAATATCAGATTCTATACATAGTGGGATCCCTGTAGAATTCAATTCTTTTTTTTTTTTTAAAGATTCATCTATTTATGCATACCAGAGCTGGGGTACAGGCCAGAGGTGCAGGGGTGAGGGTGTGAGAGGATTCATCAGAGACAGAGTGGGGAAGAGAACAGGCAGATTGACCAAAGTGCACTGCTGAGGGGAGCAGTGGGCACAACAGAAGAGGCCTATAGCTCCCGGGCTGGAGATTGAAGTCGTGCTGCAGAGGCTGTGGACAGCTTCGTAGGTTGCATCCCAACCCCTGAGCCACCGGGGAGGCCCCTAGAATTCAATTCTTAATGTTGTATTCAAGGAACAGAGAGGAAAATGGATCCCACAACTAGTTTTTTTTTTTTTTTTCACCTTTTTTCACCTTGACAATAATACCCACCTTTGGCCTTAGAAAGTTTCTAGCAATGAGGTTTAGGTAAATGTAAATGGAGAAATATAAACCTTTCCTAATGGGTAGCCACTTAGTGCATCTGAGCGTGTATAGTCTCTAAGTCATGTAAGCACTGTAATCCCTGGGTCAGTTTAATAAATGGAATGCATGAAAGTAATTCTAAGTTATTTTTAAGATAACTTTCTCTTTTTTTTTTTTTTAAAGATTTATTTATTTATTTATACAAGCACTGGGTACAGTCACAAGCACGGGAGGGTGAGAGAATTCGCCAGAGCCAGAGCAGGAAACAGAACAGGCAGACTGACGATACACTGCTGAGGGGAGCAGCGGGTGGCAGGAGAGGCCTGCACGCCATGTGGGACCCTCGCCTAGCTGCCGGGGATCAAACTGGTGCTGCAGAGGCTGCGGGCAGCCTCGCAACCCAGCGCTCAACCACTGCGCCACCGGGGAGGCACAACTTTGTCTTCTTGATGGCTTGAAATATTACTTTAACCAGGGTTCTGTTTTTTTTTTTTTTTTTTTTTTTAAAGATTTACTTTATTTATGCATGCATGCAAGAACTGGGGTGCAGGCCGAGGTGCAGGGGGTGAGAGGACTCACCAGAGACAGAATGTGGAGCAGAACGGGCAGATCTACTGAAATCCACTGTTGAGGGGAGCAGCGGGCAAGACGGGAGAGGTCTGCTGTGCCCTATGTGGGTCAGCTCCCTAGCTGGGGATGGAACTCTTGCCACAGTGGCTAGCAGCAGCTTGCTAGCGCTGAGAGTTTAACCGCTGCAACACCAGGGAGGCCCAACCAAGGCTCCTTTTCTTCCTACTTTATGCCTGCATCTCAGTCCTTCCTCGAGGCTGATAAAGTCCTGTTTATCTTTTTTACTTAATAAAACACACAGGGGGCCTCCCTGGTGGTGCAAGGGGTTAGCGTCAACACTACGAAGCAGTCTTTAGCCACTACAGCACAAGGTTGATCCCCTGTCAGGGAGCTGACCCACATGGTGCAGCAGACCTCTCCTGTCTCACTCCCTGCTCCCTCAGCAATGGATTTCAGTCAGTCTGCCTGTTCTGCGCTCCCCCTCTGTCTCCGTTGAAATCACTCACCCTCTGCACCTTTGAACTGTACCCTAGTTCTTGTATGCATAAATAAATAAATCTTAAAAAAAAATAAAACACACAAGGGAAAATTGATGCAGTTCTTTCAGAGGGAGGGGATACTGCCCTTGGTTTGTCTCCATTTCTTCTTTTTTAATGATAGATTGATTTATTTTAATTTTTTTAATTTTATACATTTTTTACATCATTTTTCATTTTTATATGTCTCTATTTCTACAGTTGCCCTTTACAACAGTTTAGAGATGCCACAGTATTTTTTATAAACTTTGATGTTTCATATTATCAGTGGTAGATACGAAATCCATTTATTATTTTCTTGTTTATAATGTTTATTGAATTGGTGACAAAAAAAATGAATGGTGGGATTGTGCTTTTGATAAAGGGTCTTACAGACATAACCATGAACCCAGGAACTGCTAATAAAGCTTACATGTGCCCAGTAATCCTTTTTATTTAAAGCACTAGACTTTCTTTTCTTTTTTAATAATGAGAAGGCTTTCAACGCCAAGCATTTAAATTCATTTCCACTGTACCAAATAAGGAAAAAAAAAAACTGTCACAGTCATCTTGTGGTAAGTTTCAGCTTGGGCAGCCAAAATGAAGGGCCTTAAGAACAATTTTAATAAGCAATGAAATCAGTGGCACTCATAATTTCACAGTATTAACTTCATCTGCCCAAAAGTGTGGGATCAGATCAACACGGCCATAGCTGTGCAGATGCAATATCATTTTCATTCTCTTAACATCATATGTTTGATTTAGTTTTTCTTGTTAAACTTTTAAAGAGATTGACTTGTTTTGCAATATGGAAACAATCGTTCATCCGGGGCACTTCTCACATACAGTAAATAGTTTAATAGGCTATTTAAGCACAACCCTTCCAGTCGGGAAAAATTAAAAAGCAGTAGTGTCTCCCCTCCCCCAAAGCAGTGCAAGGAAAATCTTTGCTATTACATCCATAAGGTTCATTTCACAATAACATATTTGTCAGATAAAGCCAAGTGGAATGTTGTGGAAATTGTGCCATGAACTTAAAAAAATACTCAAAAAAGGAGTCTTTAATAGGTAGACTAGCTAACTGAATTAATAGTTATTTTGGTTTGTCTTGGAGTACCCAACTTGAATTTGACCTTTGGAGAATCTTATGCAGTAAAAAACAAAGTTTAAATTTCAGCAGCATTATAAAAATATGAACAAGGAAATATTTGTCTGGAACAAACAGTTCCGCCTTTTTTCGGGGGAGATGCAGTTAGGTTCTATATTGTAAGGTCACTTTACTCTCTTTCCTTTCCCTAAGTTGTTACCACCTAAAGAGGATGTATTATGATCTCCAAATTCGAATTTAGGATTTTGTTGAAGGCAGCAGGGAAGGCATTTTACTATTGTGCACGCAGGCTAGTCCGTGGAGGGCCATGTCCAAGATGGATAGTGCTCTGATTAGTATTCTCGCCACCTGATCTGGCTGTGCTGTCTTTTGCTGCTCTCGGCTGGAGTGGTGCAGGCGCCGAGGAAATGGACCGAGACCTATGGAAGTCCACCAAAGGCAGCATAAAAGTTTCTTTTATAGGGATTTCCCTTCAGAGGAATGCGGCATTTTGTCGTGATGGAGAAAGAAGCCCAGCTCTTTGGTTGAAATCTTAATCAGTTTGTGCAGTAAGTTGAGCCTGGGTGCTGACTTCCCAGCAGTGGAGGGAGGGGTGTCCCCTAGATAAATGACATTCAGCCCACCAGGGGGAATGTTTAAAGGAGATTCAAAGACAATAGATTTTCCAAGCTGATGGCTCTATTCAGCAGTTCTGGAGAGGCAGTGAAAGGGTTTGTGTGACATTCCTGGAGTGGAGTATCCCTGTCCCCTACTAAGAAATCCCAGGCAGGTGATGGGGAAGGGATCC